CATGTACATTGCTGAACGGAATTGATAAGTATTCCGAGAGCATGTTGCAGCTGGAGACTTAACGTTTCTATGACCAATGTGTCAACATCGTGTCTCCCTCAATAACCTTTGCATGGCGAATACTGTCTCTCTAATGCAGTTCCCTACTATCACTATTCTCAACTTCTTTGCTGGGCGAGCATGGTTCAATTCCGTTCAAGTAGACTTCCTTCGGTCGGTCACCCAGTGTTGCTGTGTCCAGTGCAGCGTACAACATATCGTTCGCAGATTTTGTTGTTGTGCGTAAAAGTCCATTGGGTGAGAAGTATAATTCAATTAGGTTAAGGATAGGCATCAAAACCTTGATTGAGATTACTCTTATAAAAAACGAAAAATCTCGCTGGCATATATCTGTGGGCATAGCTCCTGGATCCACGCCCAAGACAGCTATGCTAGACAATATTGGATCCCTATCAAGTCTTTGTTGGAGTTCACGCCTAAAATTGACAGTTAAATAAGTCCGAGATAGGTTCGATGGAAACTTACATGAACATGACTTCCAGTAAATGTGCTGCCCGTATCTTCGCTGACCTGAGAGCGCAGACGCGTCTTCCTCCAGAGACACCCAAGTTCCCCTTGCTAACGACTCAGTATCCTGGAAGAGAATCTTGTAATTGCCGTCTTTATAGATTCCCGAAGCCTCGTCTCGAAGATCCTCCGTACTATCCTTTCCATTAGGGACTCAAAAAGGCTCCTAGCAATTGATTAGTACTCACTCATGATTCATGCCGCTAACGATCACAATCCAACCTCACTCCTTATTCAAACTTTGTAGCAGGAGTAATACAAGCAAAAACTGCGAGAGGTAGTTGACTTGAAATTTCATATCAAAATCTTCGGTGATTGTCTGGGTCACGAATTCTTGAAACCCAGCACTCAGGACGATGGCCCGGATTGGCCGTGTCGAAACTCTAGACACTCGAACACCGATGTTTACTGCCCTCTCGCCGACGGAGAAGTTTCTCAAGGTCGATTGATACTATATCGTGCCGAGAGCCATCTGGAGCCTGGCTAAGTATACTTTCAAAATCGTGGCTGTGTCGATATTTCTGCCAATGAACACACCATGGTAGTCAGATGAGAGATCAGCCCTTTGTGTGACTTGTCTGACGATTGCAGATCTTAGGCCATCATTCGACCCTGTAACAAGTATCGTGCCGTGAGTCGACACCATCGTCTTGTTTGTAGTGAAATCAAGACATCATTCCTGAATTAAAGCGAGCACCACCTGCTAGGGATATGCTGTAGAAAGTATCTCAATCTTTTCAAAGGATGATAAGTCTAAACCAATTCTTTCTGGCGTGACACGCCAAGTAACGATTAATGGAGCAGGCTTTCCAGGGTGCCTCATTGCAATGGACCACGCGACATCAACCTCCAAGCAGCGGGTTTTTGGCTGCACGGCACAGTCAAATGATAGAGTTACGCGTGTAGTCTCCGGAGTTAGCAGAGTTTCAGTCTCCGGCACAGTTTCGTTCTTCAATGTTTACTATGCTAGAGTGGTCAATGCCCGTGGTTATGGATAAAGATTCCCAGCAAGGGGGTAGGAGAAAGCAATAGATGAAGTGTCTCGTTGATAAGACACTATATATCCGTGGCGTACTCCGCGAATAGAGGTAGCAAAAAGTGATGGACACCATACTAGCAAATGATAAGACACGTCAATGATCATCATTAACAATCTATTTGTTTTATGTGATACAAAATCATCTCACATTCTATAATGAGCACCATATCAATTCCCTGTTATTACTCTTCATGCCCAACCATCGCTGAGCTATCGCCTTCGAGGTCCTTTTTCGCCCTCGCGTTGAGGTCTAGGCATGAGATAACATGATCTGTCGACATGACATCCCCAAAGATGGAGTAGAAGGAGGTAAGTGAGGCATTATGCTCGTCATCATTGGCTGCGGCATTTCCGTCGCTAACCATGATGGTTTTGTAGTTCAACATCATGGCATCTCTCGCAGTTGACTCACAGCACACATTGGTAACCGTACCAGTGATAAGAAGTGTATCTACTCCATGACCTTGAAGCACTTGGTGTAGATTTGACGATCCTTGGATGAACGCGCTAAAGCGCACCTTCTCGACAACAAGATCTTCCGCCTGCGCATCAAGTTCTTCCCACAACTCCCAGCCTTTACTGCCACGAGAGAGCGCCTTCACACGCTTCGTTGTCCACTGAGGCAAAGACATCCTGTCCAGAACGGACCACTCGATGCGCTGGTCCTCCTTCCAAACTGTCTTGATCCAAACAACCAAGCCGCCTGTACGCCGAACGGCTGCGGCTAGGTGGTTGATATTAGGTACGATATCCTGCGATGTCTTTACGTAGGCATGAGCAACTCCTTCAAGCATGAACGCGTTTTGCATATCGACAACGACCAACGCTGTCTTGGACGGCTCAATGTCGTCGAAGATGTGTTCTTTACCACACCGTAATATGACGCGGTCAATGACCCTCTGAGGAATTGTGACTTTATGCATCTCAACTCCCAAGTTTGGATGAGAAATGCTGGATTTGAGGTTGGCGATCATGTCCTCTTATCGCCGTCTCGTTGTGGTTGACGGAAATCCGGAATCGGGCCCATCGGAAGCGAGCATCCGCTTACGTGCTCGGCATCACTCTGGGACTCGAAAACTCATGCAAGATAAGTGGCCCCCCCTAAATCGGACTAATCAGACAAGAGCAACTTGAATTTAATAGACTGTTAACAACAGATCAAAACACTAGTGCTAAACATTCCGTTCCCTGATCTACTTCGCTCCAGAGAGTTGGTCATATCTCGACGTCCCTCATTATCTTGCGAGAGCTACAAGGAAACTAAATGGATTGCTTAATTTTGATCATGCATCTTTATAGTTGGAACATGACATCCGGGTGATGATGGCTAATGTCATCAACCGTAAATCTTTCCCTGTCGCGTTGTGCATCATCTAAGTCTAAAGACGTCACTTTCTTCGAGTTGAGATGCCGGTAGCAGAATACAATACCAATAGAGATCATGCTAGTCAGAGCCAGTATGCCTGTAGCTGCTCCATTTCCTTTTCGATATAGAGGCGGGTCATCGTATGCTTGATTGCCACTGATGGAAATACACTGCGAAACCATGTTTGTGATGGCTACTGCTGCAGCCCGGCTGGTATACCCTGGGTTGTTAATAGATGTCCATGCTTGGACGATAACCACATTGGGATAGACCGAAGCAGCAACTATACAAATAGCTAGGAGTCGGGGGACGGAACCCTTCAGTGCAAGCAACATTGCATAACCCACTGCTGCAATTGCCGAATTGATGCAGATGATGGTTCCACGGCGGCCAAGTCGATCGGATAGATTGGACCAGAAGTTGATCCCTACTAAAGCACTGGCATAGACAATGACAGACATGAGTTGCGAATGAACGGATGACCACCCGAAGCCATGCAGGATGCTAGGTAGGAAGTTTGACAGAGTGCTGACACAAAAGTGCTGACCCATGTTCACGATAGCCAGAAGCCAAAACAGTGGATCCAGCAGCAGATTGAGAATCAATCGTCGCCGAATCTTTGAAGTTCCGACGTTATGGGCGTGTCGTGAGCGGCGGATGATGGTGTCTTTCTCGTGGGCCGTGAAATACAGCTTCGGGGCTGTTTCGGGTGTACGCGGTAGGATGAGAATCACAAAGAATGCCCAACCAACGGGCACAATTCCCTCAATAAAAAAGATCAAGCGCCAAGATGCCCAACAGTGAACACCGTCGAGGGTTTGCTGTGCCGCGTAGGCAAGTAAACCATTGAATGAGCCTGCAAGCGCAGATGTGGAGTAGAATATACCAGAACGAGTGGCGAGTTCTTTGTATGAGTACCAGGATGTAAGGTAGGAGACGGTGCCTTGAATAAAGGCTTCAAAACAGCCAATAATTATACGAGTCGCTAGTAGGCTTCCATAACTAGTCACAATAACTGTGAGAGTTGTGACAATACCCCATAACATTGTAGCAAGGCCGAACTTCATATGCGTCAGCGTTGAGTCTAGGTATCATTGTATCACTCGATGGGTTTTGAGTCACATACCTGCAGAGGTGGCCCGACTTTTCGTATGAGCACTGTTCCTGGCAACTAGATCATGATGTATCCAACGAGGAAAATGCTAGCGACGTTCGAGTATTGTTTTGGGCTTAGGTATAGGTCTTGGTCTATACTAGCTATTTTGGCATTACCTAGATCCGATCGCCCCTGACAACAAAATCAACGCAAAACGTTATAATCAAGACAGGATAACGAACCATCTGTGCGAGGAAGTAGACTGAGGATAGGAGAAGCAAAATGATCAGATCCAACTTCCATACTACCTTTCTCTCAGCTTTCCGGTGAGAAGCCAAGTCTCCCGGCGACATTTGAAGGCCATATAAAGTATTTTCAACGTCCGTAGTACTAAATGGCTTCCATGTGGACGGCTACTGCCGGAAGGTCTGCGCCTTCATGTTTTGGGGGTCCTGGGGCCGGCATGGTGATATTGCAAATGAAGCAAAGATGATGATCAACGTAATTGAGACCACAAGTAATTTGAAGAGGGCTATGGATGTTTTCTGGTGTATGCACTCGATACTTATAGCCCGACCGTTCTGATGGCTCTCCATCGCCGGGATCCTTTGCTTCCCCAGATTTGAGGGATTTGTGGGGTTTCGTGTGGGGTGTAAGTCAACCTGTCTTTCAAAGAGCGAGGTTATGTGCGAATGTCGCTTTTACCATCAAGGCCGAGGCGACGCTCGCACATAACAACAACATACGAGCGAGGTTCGCGTTCTCAATCAGAAACTGTTGAATGGAGTCAGAAAAACTCGAAGTAATTTGAAAAAAATAGACAAATGCTTGTCCTTTTCCGAATACTCAAATCGAACAATCTTGTGAAAGTAGTTGTCCAGCTTCAACCGCTTTAGAGATCTAACCTATTCCAATTCCACACACATCACACCATGTCGCATTCCACCCACAAGAAATCGCAGCCGCTCTGTCACATTGTGACATCGGTAGGCATGCTTGGCTATGGCATTAATGCGGGCCAGACCAATGCCGCATTGGAACGATTCACCTCGACTGGTATACCTACCGCAATGATCTTGGAGTCTGGTTCGACGGACAGTGGACCACAGAAGCTGGCACTTGGGGGTATGACCGTTCCTTTGGGATCATATATTCGGGATCTACGCAAGTTGCTTGCATCGGCATGCCGTTACAATATGCCGTTGATCTTCAGTTCGGCAGGAGGTAGTGGCACTGATCACAACACACGTGAGCTAGCAGAGGTGATTAAGAGTCTTGCAGCCGAGATAGACACGGTAATATGATTCTCTCAAATGTAGTGAGGATGGTGATAGCTGACCATTGGCTTTTCGTCAGGGGCCGGGACCTCAAAATTGTCTGCATCTTCTCCGACATACCAAAAGATACCGTGAAACAACGATTGCGAAACGGCTTGATTACAGCCTGCGGGAAGGTGGTTCCACAATTGACCGAGGATGACATAGAAGCGTGCCCTGTAATTGTTGCTCAGATGGGGCTTGAGCCTTTCCTTGATGCCCTCTCTGAGCATCCAGACTTGCACGTGCTTGTCGGTGGCCTAGCCTATGACCCAGCACCGTTTGTCGCGTTTGCGCAGCATTGCTATTCGAAACTTGGACTTGGACCAGCAGACGAAAATGAGCATCTTATCGGTGGATTTACACATATCGGCAAGATCATGGAGTGCGCGGGACTCTGTGCAATTCCAAAAGACGGTGGCGCTACTGCAACTGTCTATGTTGATGGGACATTTGACGTGGTTCCAATGGCACCGACATCCAAGTGCACAACTCTCTCAGTTGCAGCACATACTCTGTATGAGAAGAGCCGTCCCGACAAGCTGTACGGTCCGGGTGGGTATCTAAATCTTACAGAAGCTGAATCTACGCAACTTGATGATCAGCGCACCGTCCGCGTTCGTGGCGGGCGATTCGTTTGGTCTGCTGAGGATTCTGAAGCGGGAGTTTATCAAGTCAAACTCGAGGGTGCCAAGGCTGTAGGTTACCGGGCCATGTACGTGGGAGCCATCAAAGATCGTAAGTTGTCAGAACTCTTTCAAAATGCGAAGGCACTGACGACATTCCTGTTTGTGACAGACATTCTTCTTGGCCAGATCGACGAGTTTCTTGGCAACGTGCGCGACTTTGTCGCGAGCGAGCATGCTGATATCGAAGGCTACTGGGACCTTCAGTGGCATGTCTATGGTAATGCTGATTCTTCTGATGCCCCCAAGGTCTGTATCATCGGCGAGGCTTTAGCATCTACGCAAGAGCTTGCCACAAACCTTGTAGCAAATGCTAAAGTAGGCACTATCCATACTCCGTATGAGAATCAGAAGGCGACAAGTGGGAATCTCGCTCATGGAATCGGTGGCATCTACACCGTTCCTCTAGGCCCATGCGCCGAATTCTGCGTGTACCACCTGAAGGGTTTGGAGCCCCAGGAGAAGAGAGGAGGCTCGAGAGGGACTCTATTCTGGACCGAGAGCTTCATAATCGCCCGTCAGGAGGGATCTTCAATCAATACTAAAGGAAGCCACACCCAGCCTCTTGGAAAGACGAAGGTCAAGAAACGTTTTCAGAACGGAAATCTTTCGAATGAACAGGTTCTAGGTAAGAATCCGGTCTTGGGGAACATTGCGCAGGTAATTCGATCCAAGAACTCTGGGCCATATGAGATTACGTTTGATGTGTTGTTTGCTCGGGAAGATGTATATCGTGCTATCAAAGAGGCTTCACTCCTGGACACTAACACCGTAGCGAAGCTCTATGGCATCAACCCGGAGCAAGTGATTTGGTCTGGGTTCTTTGACCAAGCTCGGGCATACAAAGCAACAATCCCGCGTATGAGACAAGGCCAACCTGCAGCCGCTGGTGGTTTTATGGAGGACGATGTCCATGGCTCGCAGATGTACATGCCTCTGTTGAGATTGCCGATCCCGGAAGAGCTGGTATCAGAACTCAAGTCAATATTGAAAGTGACGGAGTGATAAGAGCTTGACGGAACTTGGTGGGATGAAGGTGTGAGTTAAAGTTGTATGAAAAGTCGCCATAAAATTAGATAATTAGCTGAATATCACTGCCCCAGCGAATAATTCTCCAGAAAGTTCCATCATGTCTAAATCCAGGTGTTCCAGCCAGACTTCAGGAAGATTTGTGAAATATTCTCCATTGTCTGTAGCGAGTTCCCCACAATTCTGCCCAGGGGTTGCGTTGGAGAACCTGCCAAAGCCGGTTGTATTTGATGAGTTGGTCTTGACCGGCATTGTCTGTTGTGGCTGCTCCTGGTCATTGAGTAGTCGCACCGGCCTCGCACGAAGCTCGTTGGCCCGAGTGAGCGCATCGTAGAATATGGAAGCACCAAGCCTTTCTTGAATCCTAATGGGGCCCATGCTTTCACTTGGAAGCGTCACTGTAAACTCGTTCAATGTTTCAATGACGGCAGCTGCCCGGCCTCACTCGTCCTTCGGGCGTGAGGATTGTGACCGCAAATAATCGCGAGCGACGTTGACATGCTTCCGTGCGAGTTGCCAGTCAGTCACAAAGGCCAGGCTCTTAGATATATGAGACCGTAGGAGATAAAATGCCGCGAACAGCACAGCCCGAAAATATAATTTGGGGAGGCCGCGCATGTATATCTTGTTGAGTGGTGTGACATGCCTTAACAGTGGATTGGGTAGCGGGACTGGGGCTTCACCAAGGCAAACAATCTGGATAAGTCGCACGGCACAAGAAAGACCATCTGAGAGTGCCACTAGTAGCTGAGGGTCGGGAGAAAGATGATGGGAACCACCTCTTGCCAAACCAAGCTGCTTCCCATGACTAACAGCTAGGGTCGCAATAAGGTGTAGCTTAGCATCAAGGAGCACGAATTCGATGTCCAGATTCCAGTCGACAGCAAATCGGTGCTTTATGTGGACGAGCTCGTGGATGAACGCTCGCTCCAATGCAGTCCCCAGATGACACACTGTACTATCAGATACCAATGATGTGTACTTGGCGACACAGATCTAAATTTCAACGCGAGCAGCCAGTTCTCTAGTTATCGCCTCGTCGGGGGCAATGCGGGACAATGCGGCGAGGTCATCTGACGAACGGAGAGTCGGCGGGACGCCAATCGATTGACTGAGGCTGTCAACTGTTAGCCGGAAAGCGAGCTAGGTATGCACGGGCTTGGTACTTTGTTGACAGGTAGAAGCTGGCCAGCCAGAGCGAGGACCGTGTCTGGCTGCTGGTATCGACAAAAACTCCGACCGAGCGGAGGGATTGCGGATGCGTCGGTGTGTGGAGGCCAGAGTACAACGCAGCGTTGAGTGCAATTGCAATGAGCGTCCAGCTTTGATCCCTCGCTTGATAATCCACGGAAAGTGGCCATGTACAGAGATAGAGGAGGGCCTCGATGGTTGACAAAGTTAGCGGGGTGGCAAGGACGGCTTTCTCTAAGAGGGGCTTGTACGCGACGAGAAGGCCCGAATCTCGCCCTGCGTATGTATCCGGTGTCCTCTGGGCTACAATCATGACGATGGTCCAGAATAGAAAAGGACTTGACTCTTGCAGCTGTTTCGGCATCCGCGCAGGGCCGACGATTGGCAAATGCTGGCGAAAATAGCAATCGAATCTGTAAGAGATCTCAGAGATGGGGACTTCGCGGGTTGCGATGCTGCTTACGTCGAGAAGATTGAGATAAGTTCATCGTAAGTGAAAACACAGTCCCCTAGCTGATCAGCGTCATCGTCGAGCAGTCCAAGGCCAGCCGCACTTGACAATGAGCGAGGAGGCACACTCGATGTCTGGGCCTTGGCAAAGGACTCGGGAAGTTGTGCGTCTTGCAGGGACCTTCTCAGATGATGGACTTCTCGATTCAACTCGTCTAGGCGGCGACGAGTGGGGGTGCGGCGGAAAGTCGCGTCAACGACGCATTCAAATCCTTAGATTGAACACCGGCTACATGGACCGGGTAATGTCTCCTTTGCATCACAGCGAAGCTTTATGAGACATGATAATTAGCTCACACCACAGAGATGTACTAAATGAATGGTCAGGTAAGGAGCGACCGTTTGGAGATGCACACCTTGACTTGTTTGCACTCTGTACAAGACCGAACTGCCCGAGGCTTTCTTCGCTGTGCCATGTCAATCGATTGATCGAGAATGATCGTCGACTATCGCGTTAGATTGATTCTCTTTGCTGGAGAAGCCAGATGAGGCTAGTCCTCACTCATAATACAGGTAGGTTACGGTGTGGAATTCTTCCTTATTACTGTACTAGAGTACATGTACATGGACCCCAGACCACGCGGGGCACACGCGGGGCACCTGTATGTACCGAGCCGCTGGCTCCTACGAATGCACCAAAATTGCGTACTAGAACGATATGTTGAACACAAATTCAAAGAGCTGCTTCAATATACTAAAAATCTCTGTAGAACTCTACCCATGTGAGTATTTCTCCACATACTCGAGAGAAGCAAGGAAAACAAGGCTCATACGTACCCATGGTATCGGATAGTCAACAAGTTAATCTCGTCACCAAGCTAAGTAACGCGAGCTGAGTCGCTTGACTCGATCCTTCAGGCTCTGGGCCATATTGTAGCATGTAGGCATTTCACAAATCAATCTTCAGCTCTGCTTTGAAAATAATTGATTGAGTGGAAAGATTGCCTTGTAATTTATTTGATCAGATTCGGCTCAGATCACCCTGTCCGATACCAGGTACACCAAAGGATACACAATGAGAAATATTAACATTGTCTCTCTTCACAGTAACCAATCTAACACAGTAAATGTTCTCAGTCAATAGTCCTAGATTGCCTTGTAAACAAAGGAACTCCACCGACTACTGTTTAATAACAATCTGTCCTCACTGGTGGTCTTGTCTTTGGACTTTGCGAAATACCGTGTAGGCTGTGTGAAGTGATGGTGTCGAGGTCTAGAACGAGGTTTCGGAGTCGGTGAGAAGCTCCGGCATCACTGTGGCTGAGTCCTCAATGAAACCCTGCTATGGCGTCAGAAGGCAAGCTAGTCCGCCCCAGGTCCTGTCGGCTCTGCGCCCGAACATCATTTGGTGTAGTGATATATTGCACAAGGACTGGCGCAGCTCCTCAGCTTCAGCCACCATATGCTTTAAGACGTCCACCTGGACGATTCCATGAGCGGTGGACGACATCGAGACCATTGCCCGGCGCCACATACCTCATTAGTGAGGAACGGTGCCTGTCATATTCTAGACTGAGAAAAAGGACCCAAACAGCGGTGAAATTTGTTAGAAAGAAACAAAAACGTGGGCACATTTCTATATAGTTAGAGCCGTCCCCAACATTCCGCGCTATCACTTGGGTTCTCAAGGGTTAGCATCTTTGATTTGGCCCATGTATACAAAAAGACACCTTGTCAACAATGGTTTTGCTCTACCTGATTACCTATGTGTCTTGTCTTTTCATCACTCCCGCAAATGGCATGACATGTGAGCTGCTTCCTCCTCTATGGATGCCACTTGGTCCATGTCACCTACCGGGAATTTCGTCCTGGGGGGCACAGGTGGCCATAGGCAACGCCACTCAGCAGATTTGCATCACTCCTTCCACAGTGACAAATTCTACTCTGCTCATGGCACCATCGGTTTGCAGCGAGGCTCAACGGGCTGCTGAAAATATGACATATCCGCAGTGTGCGAGTCGACGTGGAGGCTTCATCAGTTTCGGTACGCTTCCTACTGCGAGTGATGCAGAGCAAGCCAATCTTGATGATTTAAACCCCGGATGGATGACAATTCAAGGGGAGGACGCATTTAAAAGTGCTTTAACGACAGCATTATATTTGCATGGAGGCGTGGAAAGCAATGCAACAATGTTGGATATTGTAATCACTGATGGACGCAACCATACAACATCACAATTAGCTCTCGGTAACCAGTCGGTTTTACTTGATACGCTCGTTAGCTCCAAGCAAATTGGGCGACGAAGCTTTGGTATAAATGTCGGTTCGACAAGCATCACCAATGCTAGAAGTGGAAGCATCGTTTTTGGTGGCTACGACTCTGCTGCCATCAACGGTGCTTTTGTGGAATATCCAATGACATACTCCATTGTTTTGAATGATCGAGTATGCCCCCTACAAGTGAAGATTAGACAACTGACGCTTCGTCAGCCCGGTTTGCAAGATGATGTACTCTTCAGCGAGGAATGGCCGCTCTGGGCATGTATCGAACCATACGACAACTTATTTCGTCTTCCGGACAATCTTGTTAATAATAATTTAGTCCCTACAATGGAAAGAATCACAGGCGCTAAAATAGCTCCACCTCGACCAGATCCAAACATGTGGATCAACGAGCCAGGCCTAATGTTTGGGTTTAACGGCAGTAGTTCGTTCAACGGCAGCCTCATATTCACCTTGGACCAAAACTTTACCGTTGAAATACCTAGCTATGAGATTGTGCGTCCACTAAGAGGTCTAGCCACAAATGGAAGCATGGTTATCAATGACCGCTTTACCGAGCTCCAAGTTTATCCAGTAGAGCCCTTAGACGCAGCGGTACTCGGCAAGATTTTCCTGAGCCAAGTTTATCTTCACGTTGATTATGATCGACAAGTGTTTGAGCTGGCCAACCTCAACACAGACACCGACTCAATCCTTCCTGTCAGCGATGATGAAGCGATGGGAGCCGGATGTTTTGCGACGGCAAGCAGAATTAACCCTACGACTATAGCAGTTGCTATTGGTGTTAACGTTGGACTCCTTTTGTTGCTCGCGGCCCTTATTTGGGTTCTGTTGAACAGGCGGAAAAAACAGAAAAGAATACCTCTTGCACAATTGGTGACGGTTCCAGAAGATCCCAAGAGCGAAAATGCGCCTGAGATTGCTGCTATTGAGCATCCATCTACTATTACCCCACAGACTTCGACCAGAGGTGTGGCAGCCAGTCCGACTGCTCAAGTCCAGCCATGGACTCCAAACTCAAGGGGATCATCGTTACCAGGAATGCCTAATCA